TGGAATGCCGACTTTGTTCAGCGCTTAATGCCAAAATAAAGGATAGGCAGGTTAGCTAACATATTAAATGTGTCTGAAAGCTTTTGATCGGTAATTCGCTCCTGCCGTAGTGCCTGATGTATGTAAAGAATTCAAGTAACGTAGGCTTTCTCTGTTGTATGTCTAATTACAAAGATCCCTTTGCAATTTGTTTCGATGGTAAATTGATACTGGTGATGCATGTCAAAGATCCCTCGTCGATTTGCTTCTAAACAATTTTCGAAGCAGCGAGCCATCGACAGCCCCGTCAGCGGCTGGTTGTCGCTGGCGGCACTTGCTACTACCCGGGCAATTCCCGAATATCACGGGGAGTAAATCTGAAGTGCTATTTTGACTTTGTGCTTTTGAAGAATTTTATTCAAAAAACTGCATAGATAAACTGCAGGAAACGACGGAAATTTTTAGATGCGGTTTGCTTAAAAATTTTTAAGAGAAAAAACGAGAAAATTGTTTTATCAATTCGGATAATCGCCACCCAGCATTGTTTTCATCAATCCCACCATCATCGACGGCCAGAAGATGAATTTCAATGAAGCCTGTCAGACTGTATGCTCCAGCTTCACTAAGTGTTAAAAATTGGCCGGTACAACGATCTCGAAAATAAGGTCGGAAAAATTTAGTAATATAAACGAGGGATCTGTTCCGAATTCGTATCACTCCGTAGAAATGCTGTAATTCGAATCCTGGATCCGTCGGCCGAATACCGGAGGCCTCACACACTAATTCATAACGTCGATCGGCGAAAACTGAGCTTATTCCCCAGGCCTGAATGGTGGTATTGTCCGGGAGATAAATGATCATACGGACCGGACGTCCCTCTTCTTCAGGATGCAAGCCGGCAACATTTGCGAAAGCTCCCTTCTGTGGAATTTCCTTAGTTGTCACTTGCTCTGTTGAGGGAGTAACATTCTGTGGAAAATTTGTTGATGAATCGGAATCGTATGATTGCTACAAAAATTGTAGCTATTACATATGTGCATTTTTACAGTGTATATTACTGGCTCTTTCCGCTTCCCTACTTCGCCTACACAGACCAGATTTGAAAAACATTGGGCTAATATTCCATTCAGCAGACGAAATTAACGGCCATCTGACACCAGACGAAACAGCTCTTGTCAACGCAAAAGTAGACAGCCGCAAAGCTAATCGTCTAGACTACGAGCTGAAAGTTGATCTAAGTTTTCTAAAACCTTTACATACTTTTCCCAACTTTAGTTGCATTACTATTTTTTACGCCCTGAAACCCACCTTGTACGTTCCCTCAAGCTACTTCATTAACAAACGTGCTAGAAAGCCGAAATTCGAGGAAAATAGCCTTTGCTCGTGCAGTGAACAAAGACAATAATAGGCTGCTAAAACGCGACCTAGCACTGGTATAACCCCCTAATGCACGTTATCTTCGCAGGTTCAAAGTTTTTGCTCATACAAAAAGATCTTAAGATCTTTTGTGCTACTAGATTCAGTTTCCGTTGCTCTTAAGGTATAACATTAAATTCACAAAAACCTTTGCTCATTTCGAAATAAAAATATAAACGAATTACCTGTGGTGCTGCTGTCACATACAAGCTTAACAAGAAAAGTGCAAGAAACTTTTCCATTTTTCTGAAATAGATTCTGAAATTTTTTGTAAGCCGCATAATTAGACGTATAATAAAACTGCCGGACATAACCATACACCAATCTCAGGTCAAGTTTTAGCTGTTTTTCCCCCGTGCGGCCATGCGTCTTCGCATTAAACTAGAGGTAGTCAAGTCGTTAACCGTATGAATGGTCGTTTCTTTACACATAACTTATACATTCATTATCATTGCGTAAAAGAAAATGAGTAATTCCGGAGACAAGTCTTTGAAAGTGAAGCTGTTCTAGTTCCCGAATTTGCAATTTCTTCGTCAAAAATTTCTCGTTTCCGCTCGTGAGAGCCACTCGCATCCAGGAATTGAATTTTAAGTCTTTAATCCGCAAAAGAACAGAGAACATCCTCTCAAAATTTCAGGTTTCCAGCTTTTCTAATTCCCTCATTAGCAATTTTCTCGTCATGTTGAACTATTTTCCTGGAGTGAAGCTTGGTTGGATGAATTCATTGGCAAAAACTTAACAAGCTGAAGTGCCCAAAAAGACACACACACACACACACACCATGAGTCGTCATAGTATGCTTTTTGTTATTGCATATATGCAAAAACGCATAAAAGGTGGGGGAATCGATGCCAGAATTACCGACACAAAAATACCAAGTTGTACAGCTTCCGTGATTTGATGATGTTTGTAAGCTGCAGTATCGACACGAAGATCTTCAAAACAACGGGTGATCAGGACGACGTCAAAGAAAACACGTTTTTCTCATATCGCCAGCAGTTTGTTGGCCAGGCTAATCAGCATTAGTCAAAGCAACGGAAGATTTTGTCAGTGTTAGAATAGACTGTAAACTAAGACTGTTAAAAGTAAATGAATACGCAGTGGGCTGGAGAGGAGGAGGACTTTCCGAGCTCATAAAATTTGCTAAAGTTATTCCTAGATTGAATCCTGCGATTGCTGCAAAAAAAAAAAAATCACAATTGTAATAAATCACGGTTGTAATTCCAAGTATTTATGCAAAAAAGAGCAGAAGTCGGACTGACGTTACAGAGGCCGGAAACATCTATTCACGGTATTAGCATAATCCCTCGCGAACACTGCAATTTTTTTGCGGCAAACCAATTCTAAACATGGAACCGTCTGCGTCCGAAATTCCTCTGAAAAAAATCATCAAGCTTTAGACCCAAGTAGCAACGCACCAGATTTGCTTGTGCGATTATGCTTTTTTCGCGCGATTCTATCTTAGAAAGGTTGCCTGCTTTTGCCTACGCATGGGGCTTCGCTTACATGGACGACAAAAATCCTCAGAAAAATCCTGCTTCGTGCTCATTTTTGTTACCGAACTAACTGGATGCCAATACTATCCCAAGCTAAATTTCTATTTGTATGCATGCGAGATTTAAGCGTGCTTCAAAGCTGAATTTAAAACATTTCGGTCGCAAATTGGTACCGAACGCGCAACACAAGCGAGCGCCAAGGCCCATTTTACTCTTAGATGTCCGTGTATGGAAAACAAATATTATCCTAAAATGAAAGCACTTTCCTGGCTTAATTCTCGAGTTGGCATTTTGTTCATGATGCCTCAATCTTGACTTTGATGTCCGCACATGTGGCTTAAGAGCACGTTAAAGTGAGCTGAATTCTTTAGTTCATACGCGGGTATAGACGGCGCAGGGAATGGACATTGACGAGACTTAATATTTGCACCGGAAAAACAAAAATTATTGACGACGAGCACCAGGCGGGCCCATACGATTATGCGTTTTTGCAGTATTTCGTGCTGTGTTGAGATCGCTTGGAATTTCAGTAGCTAGAATTTGTGATACAATTGCCCTCGAAGTTCGGGAAGCTAGTTGTGCAATTGGGAATTTCAGCGTTCCAGATTTTCTGGTTCTCAAGTTAGCGATTTTCCCGCCAAAAATTTCACATACTCGTGCGCGAGGCCCAAACGTATGTGAAGGTTGATACCACGGTCCTGAGATGGCACTTGATCGAGTAACCTACTGGCAAAATTTAGCGTCGGAGCTTGCCCAGACAAACACACACATACACACACACATGTACACACACACATACAGACACGTACACGAAGGTCGATTTTTTGAAATCGCTTGGCAATTCAAAAAATTTTTACTTGTAACGTCACGTCCATGAAATAATTCAGTAAACGGGAGGTAAAAATCAAACTGGAATAACGAAGGATTAAAATTTCCAGAGATCATTAATATTCCGCTGTCATGTTAACATAATTCTTCACTAGCACTGCAGCTTTTTTCCGTAAAAAATCAATTTTAGGAATGAATCTAGATTTGCAACCAGAATTCCTCCGAAATCAAACCATAAATTAAAGCATCATAAATGATGGAGCTGTAAAGTTTGTGGGTATGACTGTGGTCAAATCGCATTTAAGCTATTTTGGTTTGCAACAAGTTGGCAGCCTTTGTCTGTCTCGGCCAGGAAATGAATGTCAAAACGCTCACTCTAATATCACATATAGAATAACTGTCGACTGGTAAAAATTTCTTAGTGGTTCTCTTCATAGGCAGCTTTCGAAAAGCTGGCATGCATTCATGGAACAGGTAGTATATGGCTTAGAATCGCGGAATAGCATAGCTGTGCTTGTGATGTGGCAGCATATCAATAGAATTACTACGAATTTCTTCACATCGCCTTATATGCAGGCCAGCTTCACATAACTGTTTGCCTAATTTGGGAGATCTAAGTGTCACTTCTGAGTGTTTTTATTAAATTATGAAAATTCGAGTGTGTTTCTCTCCACGGTGGGCCTGCAATGATAAAGCAAGTGCATATGTTAACACATAAACGATTTCAAGCGCTCTGTCCTCTTCCAACCTACTCGTCAAGGATATTCACTGTTATATCCCCAAAATTTCCATAACGCTTTGAAGTAAACTGGACATAATAAGGACTGAAACTTGTGGTATGCGCGGGAATGAATTTAGTCGAGATTAAGACGGTTCCGTCTATTACGCTACATACGTCT